GACTCGAAAGGCCGACCCAACACCAGGGGAACCAGTCCAAAGACTGGTCGGTGAAGCCTCGGGCCGCGAGACACGCGGCTGGAGGTTCAGCTGGTGTGCGGCGTAGCGAACCGCGTAGGGCCACAGAAAATGGGGCGCACGGGCGTGAATCATGGACGTGCGAGCAATGTCCATGACCATGCCAATGCGGCGCTCAGCAACCCCATTTTGCTGTGGGGACTCTGGCAGCGTCCAGGACTGGGTGATGCCCTGTTCGCCGCAGAATCCGGCAAGAATGCCGGAGCGAAACTCGCCCCCTCGGTCGGAGTGGAGACAACTGACTCGACGACCACGAGTGCCCTCAGTGGCCAAAAGCCACCTGATCAGCGTAGCAGTCACCTCGGACTTCTTCGCAAGAGGGAACACTGTGGTGTACCTGGAGAAGTCGTCGACGACCACCAGAAAGTAGCGCTCCCTCCCGGACCCCTGTGTCGGGGCAGGGCCCCAGACGTCCAGGTGGAGAGTCTCGAAGGGAGCGGTGGCCGGACCAAGGGAGGAGGAGTGGGGAGTGGCGCGTAAGCGACCGGCGACGCACGGAGAGCAAGGAGGGGCAGGCGAGAGAGGGAGCGACGGGAAGGTGCGTGGGAGACCTGAGACAAGTCCCTGACTGAGCATGCCACGTAGGCGAGGGAGCGACGGGTGGCCAAGGCGGTGGTGCCACAGGACGGTGCGGTGGGTGAGAGAGCGACAGGAGCACGACGCAGCGACGGGGCTGGACACAGCGACTGGACCGGACACTACTACCTGGCTAGACACAGCAACTGGACTGGGGACCTGGGCCGGAGGGGACGCAACGACTTGAGGGGAGGACGCGACCGGGGAGCGCTCGGTGTGGAGGACGTAGAGACCGGAGCGGGGCTCCCAGGTGAACGTGGCCAGAACAGCACCTGTGGTAGCGTCTGTACAGACTGCAGTCCGCCCACCCCCCACGAAGGTAACCGTGATCCCCCTGTCCTGGAGGTATCCAACACCCACCAAGTTCCGAGTGAACGAGGGGATGTGGAGGCTGCGCAGGACACCAGAGGGGACCACAGGGCAGGGGAGGGTGGTGGAGCTGCGCGCAACGGCTGGTCCTGAGGTAGGATCAGCCAGAGCCACCGACACAGGTGTGAGGAGTGGGGTAAGGGTCGTGTGGTCGCGGAAGAAGCACTGAGACGCGCCCGAGTCCAGCGTGAACGACAGAGAGGCCTCAGCCGGAGGGTCACCTGACTTAGTCGCTACACAAGCACCTAGAGCAGCAACACAAGCACCTAAGCTAGACAGGCACAAGGCTACACTAGCAGGAGGCAAGCAGGCTAACCTACGAACACGCGAGCAAACAGATCCATCAGCACTAAAGTCAGCATCAACAAACAAAGCATGCTGACGCGCATCGTCCATGGACAGATCAAATACATCAATCTTACGGGCTAACAGACGAGACCAGCGAGGCGTGACCGCCTGAGGGCCCCAGCGAGCCCGGTAGAGGTCGTCGAGGCGGCGGAAGCACCGCGCGGCAGAGTGGTCGTCGCGACCACAGAGGCAGGGGCTGCCCGGCCCGGTGAGGCACCAATGGGTGCAGGGGCCCCCGTCACGGCGAGGGGGACGAGGGGCCCAGCTGGAAGTGCTGCTGCTGCGGCCGGTGCTCCCTGGGCCTCCCTGACCCCACTGTGGCGGGGGACCCCAGTGCTGCTGCGGACCCCACTGCAGCGGAGGGCCCCACTGCTGGAACTGCTGCTGTGCCTGCTGCTGCTGCTGTCCCGGCTGCTGCTGCTGCTGTTGCTGCACCTGCTGTGGCTGCTGCTGCTGTGGCTGCTGCTGCTGTCCACCCCCACCGGTCGGACCACCACCAGTAGGCGGGCCTGTCTGTCCTGCACCTCCTCCAGGGCCCCCTCCTCCCGGTGCACCACCACTGCCGCTGCCGCCGCTGCCGCCGCCGCCCCCCCCACCACCGCCACCTCCACCGCCGCCTCCACCGCCTCCACCTCCCCCCCTACCGCCCCTCTTGCCGCTCTTGCCCCGTTTCTGCCAGTCTGCGGCATAAACGGCAGCAGTGTCCTCAGAAACCGACACAGTAGCAGAAGGACGGGTAGCAGTGAACGTGGGAAGCTGGGGGGTGGCACACCCCGCAAAGAGACGGGGAGCCACCGCGTCAGTGGCGGAGGCAACGGTGAGGAGGCTGCTCTCGATCTTCCCGAGAGCGGTCTCAAGGAGATCGATGGTGAGCTCAGTGGGGTGCTGCTGCAGGAGCGCGTCGCGGGCAGTGGCAAGGCGGTCAGGGAGGCGGGTGACTAACCAGTGCACAGTGAGCCACAAGGGGGGGGGAGCCGCTAGAAGCTGCTCGTCGGTACAGGCCGCACGGAAACTAGCGTCAAGCGAGCGGAGGTGGGTCACAAGGTCAGACACAGTCGCAAACGAGCCTAGGTCGGGGAACACAAACGGCATCAGGATGCGACTGAGGGAGGCAGAGGAGGGGGTGGAGTAGCGGGCAACAATAGCATCCCAAACCCCCTTGGCTGTCTCCACCTGGTCAAAGTGGGCGGCCTCAGTCGGCGGGAGAAGCTCCGTCAGTGTGAGGGCGGCGGCAGCGTCACGCGAGAGCCACACGTCCCTGGCCAGGACCCGACGCTCGTACTCCGCCCGGGCCGTAGGGGTCGGCTCCGAGGTGGTCGGCACGGCGGCGGGGGACGGGGGCTCCTGGAGGGCACCAGACGCGTGAGCCCACAGAGTGGCGTTGTCCTGTCGCTGACTGGTGAGGAAGCGCGTGGTCTGACGCCGCCAGGTACCGAACTCGATCGGGCGTCCCTCCGCGTCGAAACGGAGGCGACGGGACTCCATAGCGGACGTCATGCTAAAGGCGGCTGGAGCACGACAAAGTCGGAGCTAGGAACGAGGAGGATGCTAGAGGCGGAGCTAGGAACGTGGAGGACTGGCACTGAGGGCGAGAGGCGCCAGTTGGAGAGCTAGGGAGAGAAACGGCTGCGAACACTAGGAGCGAAGGAGGCACTAGTGCGGACCCTACTCTAACCTACGCTACCGGCGGGAGAGAGAGCGGCTACCAGCCGCTGAATGGTAGTCCGATGGCAGTAGGGCTGTGAAGGGCCCCGCGCACAAGGTAGTGGTGGGGCTAGGGTTTGCAACGAACGGTGTGGGCGGTTTAGGGCGGTTGAGTGCGGCGTATGGCGGTTTGCGGCGGTTTAGGGCGGTTTAGGGCGGTTGAGTGCGGTTGAAGGGCGGTATAGGGCGGTTTAGGCGAGGGCGGGCGCCTAAGCCCGAAGTGGCGGGCGCCTAAGGCGCTGGCTGGCGGGCGCCTAAGGCGCTGGCTGGCGGGCGCCTAAGGCGCTGGCTGGCGGGCGCCTAAGGCGCTGGCTGGCGGGCGCCTAAGGCGCTGGCTGGCGGGCGCCGAAGGCGCTGGGTGACGGGCGCCTAAGGCGCGACGTGGCGGGCGCCTAAGGCGCGACGTGGTGGGCGCCTAAGGCGCAACGTGGCCGGCGCCTAAGGCGCGACGGGACGGGCGCCTGAGGTGCGACGTGGCGGGCGCCTAAGGCGCGACGGGGCGGGCGCCTAAGGCGCGACGTGGCGGGCGCCTAAGGCGCGACGTGGCGGGCGCCTAAGGCGCGATGTGGCGGGCGCCTAAGGCGCGACGTGGCGGGCGCCTAAGGCGCGACGTGGCGGGCGCCTACGGCGTGACGTGGCGGGCGCCTGAGGTGCAACGTGGCGGGCGCCTGAGGGGCGGGGTGGTGGGCGCCTAGGACGCGAACGGGCAGGCGCCTAGGGCGCGGTCGCGAGAGCGCCTAAGGTGCGGGCTGGAGGGCGCTTAGGGGCGCGGGCTGGAGGGCGCTTAAGGGCGCGGGCTGGAGGGCGCTTAGGGGCGCGGGCTGGAGGGCGCTCAGGGGCGCGGGCTGGAGGGCGCTTAGGGGCGCGGGCTGGAGGGCGCTTAGGGGGCGCGGGCTGGAGGGCGCTTAGGGGCGCGGGCGAGAGGGCGCTTAGGGGCGCGGAGGTCCTAGAAGGTAACCTAGCGTGATACCATCTCAAAGTAGCTTAGCGGAATGATTGGATTGGGGTTGTGAAAGCATACAAGTAGGATACCTAACAAAGTGTTGTACTCCCTAAGGAGCAACTCACTACAGCCTATCACAAATATAACATTTGACACTTATATGGCGAAGCTAGCTGGGCCGAGGTTGTGGGGTCGCGAGATGGCTGGGTGCAGGTTCGGGGTTGAGAAACCCGAAAGCGGCGCGGTAGTGGTTCGGAAGGCAAGGTCAGCGGACCGAGCCTGGTTTTCCGAAAAGTCAGGTTTGTACGCATACCGTGTGACCCAGTAAGGAATCCGAAAAAATCCTTACAGAATGGCTGCATACATGAACTTTCACCTACGCAGGTACCTTAGATACTGTCCTTGAGTGCATCCTATCAGTGCGGCAGCTTAATCGACAACATTTAGAAAGCTTGCTTTCTTGTGTTTGCAATGGCAACGAGCTTCGTTTCAAATGGGCATTACAACATTCTCGTCCTACCGTACTTAGATATGGTACATACATTACAAGTTCCAACATGCAATTTTTGCTAGGGTGGGTGGGTGGGAAATAAGACATTTGAAATTTCAAACGAAGACGTATAGCCTCCACCCCCTGCTATATAGTTGGCGAAGAGCGTAGAGCACTTCGCCGTTGCCATTGCTGCATTACAAGCAGCGTCGCTTTCGAAATATACATTTTTAGAAAGTGTTACACACTTTCAAAAAACTTCATATTGACTTCAACCTTGTCACGGTCCCATTATGGGGTTGATCTTTGTACCAGTGTGCAAGAAACACAGCCAATCTATAACATAGCAAACGACAACAACGCCTGATACTGTAAAAGCAATCCAGAGAGCAAAGAAAAAAAAACCAATCATGTCACGTGGCAGTTATCTGTGCTTTCCAACATTTCGAAACAAATGAAGTTTACTTCAAATTCTACACTAAACCTAGCGGGTTACTGCTTGGCTGCTGCTGCATCTGCTGCGGCCATCTTGCCCAGGTCCAGCAACTCCTTGAGCTTGCCATCTATCTGCTCCTCAGACAGGCCTTCCAGTGCCATGCTGTGCTCCACTCCATAGTCTGCGCACAGAAAGGCAGTACAAGAGGCATGCACCGGGAAAGCAGGAACAAGAAGAAAGGGATAGATGGACGGATGGGAGGCCATGAAGAAACCGGGTGAGGAAATGACAGAACAAGGGGGAGACTGAAAAAAGGGACCGGGAGAAGGGAAAGGGGTTAAAGGGAGGGGTGTTGGGCATTGACCGGGAGACAAGGGAGGGGTTTTGGGCATTGGCTGGGAGTCAAGGGAGGAATGTTGGGCATTGACTAGGAGTCAAGGGAGGGGCCAGAGGCAGTGAGGGAGCAAAAGAGCCAAGGCGATGATGGGATGGATGGAGGTGATTAGACACTGCAATGGAAGAGCAGTGCAGAACCAGGGCACACTGCACATGTACGTTTAGATCAATCAAGAGTCAGCAACACAGAGAAACAGAGAAGCACAGTGGCAGGGGCTGTCAAACACATCTGCCCGCACAGGCCTCATGCCGTCTACCATCATCCCTATGCTGCCCCCCCTCTCCCTCTTCCCCCTCCTTCCTCCCCCCTGTCCCCTCCCCACTCCCCCTCACGCCTCCCCCCTCATCTCCCCCATACTCGCTCTTCCCTGACCACTGGAATGCATGAATGCCAAGCTCCCCACACACCAAGCACCCTGCCCGTTCCTCTCTCCTCTCTCCCTGATCCTCTCTCCCTGTCCTCGCACACCCAGCCTCCCTCTACTTGCGGCCCCCTTCTCTACTCTCATCCGCTATCCCGACCACCTCTTCCCACCCCACGCCTTCCTCCCCCGCCCTGCCCCACCCCGACCTCCCCTCCTCCCCGGTGCACGTCCCTCCTCCCCCGCGCCAGGGCGCACGCGGCGTACCATAGCGCGCGGTGATGCGCGGCTGCACGCCGCTGCACTCGCGTATGAGGATGGGCAGGTGCGGGTTCTGCTGCTTCAGGTCCGCGTAGTTGCGCTGCACGAACTGCCTGCGCGGAGTGGCGCGGGGAACGGCGGGGGAAGGGAGGCGTGGGGAAAGAGGAAGGGAGGGGAAGAAGCGGAGCACGGAAAGGGGGGCGATGAGGGGAGGCGCGGGGGATGAGGTGGGAAAGAAGGGGGGGGGAGAAAAAGGTGGGGATTTGCATGGAAGCAGGGTGCGTCAGTTAAGAGAAACAAAAGGAAGGATGAGAGTGAGTGGATAAAGCGGAATGGCTGACCTGGGAGGCTTTGACGGAATGCGCGATATGGCGTGGTTCAGGCAAGAACCTGACGCCTAATGAAGCGTGCACAGGCGGACGCGTGATGTTAGCAACGGGCATGGGAACGCGTGATGCACAGAGGACTACATCGATCGATCGACCCCTGGCACTGGCAGGACGGCGACACGAGTACAGCCTGACTGAATTTGATTGACTGACGGAAAACTGACTGATCAGGAGGAATCCGTCGTCCTTGGTTGACCGCGCTAACGTTGCACCACATGCCCCAACGAAGCCGACTAATCGCACGCCCAGCTACGCGATGTACCCCGCGCCTCTTCGTTCCGACACATTACCAATAAAAGCAGACCCTCTACAAGGAAAACAACCAATGCGCGATTTTAAACAGCCTGTATGCCGCACTTCTAACCCCATGTTCACCCAGCCGGCGGTGAATTTCCAACTTGCCCAACGAAGCCAGACAAAAGACTTGCCTCGAGACGTCTCACAAGGTTACTGTTCCCAGTCACCCCAAATCCATACGGTTCGCGCCGAGAATCGCGGCGTACCTGGTGGCGGAGCTCGCGGGCGAGGTTTGGCAGAGCTGGATGCGGATCTCGTGGAGGAAGCGCGAGAGCGACGCGCGCCACGACATGATGACGGATCAACGAACGGGCGCGGCGCGGAGCGGATCAGAGCAGAGCGCACGGATACCGTAACTACTGCCTGCGGCGAAGGCAAACGGTGATGCGAAGCGGAAGGAGTATCAGTGATGGATCCTCCCACTCGCCGCTGCACACTCCTCAAACGGATCGCTCCACGAAAACGCGTGACGTACAAGATAACGTTTTCCCAATGGCAGAGGAATCACCGTCCGCCACGACGCTAGGCGTGATGTGCGGAGAATCGGCGAGTGGAAGGGCGACGACGAGAGGCACGCGCGGAGCGGATTGGCGGAAGTTGAATGATGGCGCGTGTGCTGGGGGGGTTCAGTAGCGCGTGTTTGGATTGGGCCGGGGCCAGAGCTGGAGCAGAGCACAAGTGGGGAGAAAGAAAAATTGGGTAAATGGAGAGGTTCGTTACGGTGAAAGGTGGTAGGCTCACGAACAAATTGCTGCTTATTGAGTGAAAGTTATTTCTAACAAAAACAGGACACTGACGGTGGTCCCCTCCCCATTCTCAACACAAATCACTGGACTTATATCATCTAGTAATTGGGTCATGGCTACCTCCTTACGATTTTTTCCCATCAATGCCTGCCTATGTGCATACCTACACAAGCCGCATAACTAACCGCATAGAAACAGCAACTAAACCACCGTTTGCCAAGAATGGTACGATCACACGAAGGACAGGTGGGAGAGCGGGTCCCACAGCCTTGAGAAGAGCACAGATGACCGCAACAACCATCATAATGTTGGTAGAGTTCTGAACAAAGGTAACCAGAACACAGAAAAGGAAGGCGGTTTCAGCACATGTGTAAAGACGCAGCACAATCAAAACATGTTAGATGAGATGCCACCGTGCAAAGGGAACAAACAGAACAGGAACAAGCACAGATTCCATGCCATTACTAACCTGGACAACAAGTGCAAGAACCTTGCCAACAGCACCTTCTCCCTTCATCAGCCCGCCCAGCTCCTTCCCTGCTTGCTCCATCAGCCAATAGCAGCCCAGACAACCTGTGAGCGCCGTTGCCCCCGCCAGCAGCACCTGCTGCTGCCTGAGAGCAAAGGCGAGTTCTCCTAGGGATGAGGAGAGGAGGTAGGGCAGGAGGAGGAGGGAGAAGGAGACGGAGAGCAGGGAGTGGAAGCGTGCGAGGATAGATGAGAGAAGGGGAGCCCAGGGGAAGGAGGCGAGTGGGGGTGGGAGAGCCTTAGCTTGTTGTGGGGAGGAAGGGGAGGAGGGAGTTGGGGAGGAGGAGGTGGAGGGTTGTTTTTTCGGCCTGCTGCCAGGACTAGGATTTTTCCCTATCCCGCTGCCACTGCTGAACCGGCATGTGATTCGGGTGAAAGGCTGTGAAGGGGAGGTGGGGGGGTTAGGAGGAGCATATGGAGAGGGGGAAGGAATAGGAACGTGGGACAGGGCGGGGGAAAGATGCGTGAGAGATGGAAAAATGCAGGAATGCAATGATGACGAGTTGTGATGAGATGTTATGAGATGAGATGCACTGGTTGCTGCTGCGAGAGACAAGGCATGAAATGCAGCCAGAGGCAAGAGGCAAGCGGCAGGGGGCAAGGCATGAGATGGCAAAACGCGGCTCTGAACAGCCAGAAGCAGCTGCACATGCTTGCTTGCCATCGCGCACTACTTCAATGCATGCGCAACCACACATGGAAAATAGAAGTGTACTTTTACACGACGCCCCTCCCTTGCCCTCCCACCCAACACCACAATCTCGTAAACGCGCACCCATACAGCCCGTCTCAAATCCCCCACCCACACACACTCCCATGCACCATCAAATCCCCTAGTTTCCCTTCCATCCACCCATCTTAAACCCTCCCCCTTGAGGGGTATAGTCCCACCGGAGCTGGTCGTTGAAGTTGGCGCCGATGGTTCAAACACTCTTTTCTCCCCAGCATTCGCAGCGAATTGGTTCCGGAAATCGCGCGAGGTACTGAGAGTACGGCCAATAATGAACTGAAACGGGTAGCGTGAGAATGTTGTGACGCTGTCCACGTGGCGTCCGCTGAGAGGCCAGCTCCGCCACCACCGCTACCGATCACATTCTTAAAGCTGCTGCTCATTCTTCCGCAGCGCGACCTCGCACTCCCTATGACTTCGACACGATAAGACCGGCATGCGACGGCGGCGCTCCCACGCGCGGGAGTGTGCGACGCACCATAGGAAACGAGTGCGAGGCGTTGCGACTCGCCGAATCGTGAGCAGTGCGCGACACCAGCGTGGATAGACATCGTGCCGTGCCGACTCACGAGCAGCAATCGCACGGGACGGCAGCAAGCCCTGCTCGACCACACACGGCTGGAAATACAGCAAGTTCTACTTCGACAAGCCAGGCATCAGGTAAGTGTGGAGTCATGTCACAAACGAAGAGATTTCGCGGTTGTGTAGCGAGCTTCTGGAGAAAGGGTTTAGACCGATAATACTTTCTCGTTTACACAGGGGAGCAGGCCTAAGATATGTTGAGCTGAACCAACATGTTGCCGGTATATCTTGAGACTTAATTATCTGCAAAACAAAACTTCAGATTGGCAAACCGTCTTTCCAGTATGAACTACCCCAAAGAAACAACTCCTCGAGCAGCATGTAACCGTACTCCGATAAGGTGTAACCCTGGTAGTGTGGAAGTAAGAGCTGACCTTGGGACCTCAGCTTTATATGTCAAAGCATCCCACCCAAGAATTTAGCATGACCTCAGTAATGGAGTGGAGGGGCAAGTACGGCTCAAAACAGGGACGAGACTGACGGGGAATAAGGTGCGACAAGGGAAGGAAGTGGGACTGATGAAGGAAGAACGGGGTTAGAGTGAGGGAAAAGGGATGCTGGAAGTGGGCGTGGGTGTCCCAGGAGGGTAATAATGTAAGGCGCTTGCCCATACGGCACCAGTTAATCACTGTTCAGAAACCACCAAAAAGATTAACAGGAACTGTTACAGGCCATGGTTATATTGAGGCACTCCCAAACAAGTTCCCTCACCTATCTCCACGCATGCACCCACGGGCACAGGGCCATAGTCGCTCCTAGCAAAGCACACACAGTGGAACCGCCCAGACAAGTCACACACAGGCACAGGCACAGCACAGCACCGCACGGGACGGCACAGCAAGGCACGGCACAGCACGGCACGGCACGGCACAGCACGGCACGGCACGGCACGGCACGGAACAACACAACACAACCCAAGGTCAATTGCAATGTGGCACCAACATTCTTGATCATCCGTCAGAAAAAACCACATTCCCTTCCTCCACATGCTCCCTTCCTCCACATGCTGCCCTCATCACAAACAGCCCTCAGATGTACTCCTTGCTCCCTCACTCAACCCCTCTCCTTCCCACTGATTCATCTCATCCCTTCAGCCTGCTGCCCTTGATTGCCACCCATCCTGCACCACTCACGCCACTATCTGGCCACCACCACTCCCCACCAACTCCAACCATGAAGTAACACCACTTCATTGGCTGGATCCCACTTCCCCGCCCATACCAGCAACTCCTGTCACCGCCACTGCTGCTGAATCTTCAATGGCCTTTCCATTCGCAGCAGCACCAACACCTTCAGCTGCTAGGCCATTCACAGGATGAGCAGCAGCAGAGCCTGATCCTGAACCTGTGGCAGCACTGCTAGGAGCTTTCCCTTGTGCCACTGCTGCCACTCCTAGTGCTTCCGCCCCCTCCGCTTGCCCATCCTCCGATCCCTTCCTCCTCGCATCCCGCCAGGTCGAAGGGGAGAAGCGGAACGACGGGGACATGGCCCTCAGCTTCCAAGACCGGGTTTTACGGTTGGGCGTAGCCGCAGCAGAGGAAGAGGACGAGGCGGAATCGACTGAGTTGCCGTTGGAGGTGGGGAGAGAGGCGGGGGAGGAGGAGGAGGAGGAGGAGGCGGGAGAGCCGGAGAAAGAGCCAAGGGGAGTGGCAGGAGCAGAGGCGGTACCGGAGGGGTGGCGGTGGCGGTTGGGGGTCATGAAGGAACGGATGGCTGTTATGGGGGTTCCCCAGCCGGGGCGCTGGCGACAAGGGGAAGGGCGCAGGGACGACGGGGAGAGGGAGTGGGAGAAGCGGGGAAGAGCGAACGGAGATGGGGGGAGAGGGAAGAAGGAAGGCGGGAGCAGGTGTTAGTGGAAGAGTCGAAGAGGCAAGGAGCTGGTGCTAGAGCTTGGGACAACGGAGGAACGTGTGAGGAATGGATGGAGGAGAGAGGTGTGAAAAGGGTTGGACAAAACCCAACCCAGCCCAGGAAGTTGGTTTGCTTATGCGGCACTTGTGGGGGGCATAACAGACTGATGAACCCCGAAATGGACTCGGCAACTTCATTCCCATCACACGACCACCAAAGTAATAAGGAATTTCGAGCCAAGACAAACAGGCGGCACAAACCCACTGCCCTATGCAATGGCCAGCCAGGCCCTGCACCCGCCAATCCTTCTGTCACCCTTGTCTTGCTGCCCATCCTTCCAGCGCCCCCCCCCCACCCCTCCCATTAGCCTCTCGTTTCCCTCCCCACCTCCTTTACCCCCTCCATTCCCCTCCGTCCCCGCCCCACACCTCCCCGCATCCCCCTGCGCGCTCACCCTCTTGGCCTTCCTGGGGAGGTCGGGCTGGGGCGCGGGGGGGTGCTGGACGAGGTAGGAGATGTATTTGCGCAGGCAGCGCAAGTACTCGGGGAAGAACTCGAGGTCGCAGTGGTGCCCGCCCTCCAGGAACAGCGGCTCAAACGGCCGCTTGCACGCGTCCACCAGCATCTGCCCGTGCGACACGTCCACCACCTCGTCCGACGTGCCCTGGGGGGTGAGCGCGTGGGGGGAGGATGGGAAGCGCGGGGACGGGCGGGCGGAAGGGGGAGGCAAAGAGGCGGGGGGAGGTGCGGGGCAGTGGAGGAAGGAAGGAGTGTGGGGGGGGGGGAGGAAGGGACGCGGGATAGACGGAGTGTGAGTGAGGTTGAGCACCTGTAATCGCGCACCAGCACGTGCCAATCGGGTTCTTTGCGTCCGTTTTCGAGGGTGGGTTCAACTTAAACAGGTATGGTGCGCAGGTTTCACCTTCTTCAATGTACATTACGAACGAAAACAGAGCGCTGCTCTGGGTAGAGTGCAATTTGAATGATGAAACATGATAGAGTGCAGTGCAGCGTGACCAGGTGCAACTATTTCTTCTAGAAAAACGGGAAAGGAGTACGATGGGGAGGGAGAGTAAGGTGGGGGGTAGGGATGGGGGCCGAGGGGGATTGTATGGGGAGGAGCGGAGCAAATAGACGGGCAAGGCAGCGAGAGCAGGAGTAGGTGGTGAGCGGGCTGGAGGGGATGGGGAATGAGGGGGGCGCGGTGGGACGTACATGCATGACGAAGACAGGGCACTCCACTTTGGGCAGCTTGTCGATGTTCTGTGCGCATGTGGAGTGGAGGAGCAACGGAGACAGCGGTGGGGAAGACAAGGCACGATAAGGCACAGCACAGCACAGCAAGGCACGCACAACACAGCACGGCACAGCACACCACGACACAACATGGCACGGCACATCATGGCACAGCACAGCACAGCACAGCACAGCACACTGCGGCAAATGTGTGCAGGCAGTATTTCCCAGAGTGGCAACCCCGTCACGAAAACACACGCACATATGCTGACACACCCCCACCCGAACTTGTGCAATCTCCCACCTCACCCGACCATGCAACACACACCAACCACGGCACGGCACAGCACCGCACAGTCACACCTCCCTCCCCGCCTCCGCCCACGCCTCTCCCCTCCCTCCCCCCCTCTCAGCGCAAAGCGTACCGGGAAGATGTCGAACCAGTAGGTGTGCTTGACCTCGTACAGCACGCGCACACCCGACGCGATGGGGCTGTGCAGCACCACGCCGCGCACGTTCGGCGTGCGCGATGCGAGGTCGACGGTGGGCCCGCTGCCGACGCTCTGCCCGTACAGCACGACCTGGTCCGCGCCGATGCTGTACCGCTGCTGCAGACACGCCATCACCGCCTCCACGTCCGCGTACGTGTCCGCCTCCGACGGCTGCGCGGACACGCGGGGGGAGCGGGTGCGCGGGGTGGGGGGAATGGGGGGAGGGAGAAAGGAGAAAGGGAGGAGGGAAAGGAGGAGACAGATAGGGGTTGTGGGCAGGGACTGACGTCGGTGGCTATTGCGTCAAGGCTGATGCTACGAAGTCATGAGGAGGGGGGGAAGGAGGGGGGGGAGGGGGGGGATGGGGAGGGGGTGGTTCTGCAGGCGAGGCGAACTTGATTTAAGCGAAAAACGCTCGAGATAGTTGTCGAAAGGGCGGAGCAAAGAAGAAAGACGCCATAGAGAGGGGCTGAGAAGGTCGAGGACGGGGGTGGGGGGAGGAGGGGGACTGCAGAGGGACGAGGGCGTAAGCAACCGTCCGAAGAGGAGCACGATGGCAATTGAAAGAGAACTGCCTCAAGTTACCGGGAAACACATACACCTTTCCTTTCCCCTTCCACCCTTCCCTGTGAACCCAGCTTGCGAGAAGCAGCGTACCTTGCCGGTTGAGGCGCCGTATCCCGTGTAGTCGTACCTGGTGAGACACGGAAGGTGATGGGATGGGAGATGACGGAAGATTGGGAACGTAACAAGGTGAACAGAGAGGACAGGAAGAGCAGAGAGTGCAAAGAAAAGGTCCAGAGAGCTCTAAAGGCAGTCACGAGTGCAAATTTTCCTTTTTATAAGTTGAAAGGATGCGTCATTGACAACGACAATTGGGACCGAAGGAACGAGGGAAAGACGGAGAGGTAGAGCGGAAGGAGGGAAGGGAGAGCAGGGGTAGTTACGAGGCCCACCCCATGAGATTAACTCGCAGCATATGCGCGAGCTCGACGTAGAGGTCGTGCATCTGTCCCAGGTCAGCCGCATTGCCGTGCGAGTACAGCAGCGTCAATCGCGCGCGGGGATTGCGGACGAACATGGCCGCCACCTGCTGTCTCCGCCGCGTATCGATCAACAGCACGTCCACGTGGTCTTGCGGCGGGATGCTGTCGAATCGCAGCTTTCCAGTGCTCGGGTCCTTCACGATCCCGTATGAAGGCGGAGTTGGCGGGAAAAACGCGAATTTCGCCGCTAACGATGACGTCATGGCACCCATGGTGGCGTAACGAAGCTAACAGCGCAAACAATTCCTTTTACCCTCACGAATATCCACAACTAACCCGGAGACTGAAAGCTTCCAAAGTTAGGAGGGGTCTAATATATTAGATTAGTCTGCAAAGTATACGGGCCAATGAATAGTCAAGTATGCCTTTCACCGAGCGAGCGAAAGGTGCCTTGAGGAGGCAACTGTGCGGAGCCGAAAAAAAACCTGCTGGCGAGTCTCAGGAAGAGATATTAGCAAGTAATGTTAGAGGCTGCTGTCGTTGTGAAAGCCGGAACACCAGCGTAACGAACGGCTACCGTGGCGGAAGGATGGAGCGCGGCTGCCTTACTAGGCAACAGCGCCGCGCGGGCGAAGTACAGCACGGCATTTGACAGACACGGGTTGGACCAGACTGTTTAGTATTGGCTGTTGTGAGAATCCTTCTGGAACCTAATACAGCCTAGGTTAACGGTTGCATCTAAATGTGAGTTTTGCGGTAAGGCCACGGAAGATGTTAGGGTTCAAAGTACGAGTCTGGCTTATTGTGAAAAAAAAGGAAGGTTCGGGAATTCTACACACTGGTTGGTGGAGAAAATACGAAGCGTGTCTGGTCAATTTAGGAACATTGACGTCGCTGTCGTCAAGCAGCGAAGCAGGAAGTGTGTCAAGAGTAGACTTAAGCGGTAAGTGTAGAAGCGTGCCAACCTAAACACAGCATATCAAACGTAGAGTTGGTGAAGGGGAAAGCAGAGTGGAGCAGCTGAGGGTCCTCACACACAACGGAGCTTGGTTGCAATGAGGAGCTAGGAGGAGGAGAGCCAAAGCAGGGTGAGCAGTGGCAGGTGGGTGGGCAGAGAAACCTTCATTCACCGCTGGCGGGGGTTGGGGAGGGAGGGGTGCGGGGAGAGGGGGAATCTTGGCGCAAGCCCAGGGGAAAGCCTAGCAGGAGGCACGGAAGTGGGGTGCTTTCCTCTTCCCAGTTCGTGCTCAACCGCTCGGAAAAATGGGATACGGAGTTGGATTGGGGAGGGAGGGGACGCTGTAGTCCGCATTTCTCAGCTCTAGTGTCAGTCCGTGCAAAGCAAGTCAGTCCGTATGTAGTGGTGCTGCGCTGAGGCGATTGCGTGAGCTGTGTACACCCTGATGCTCACTCAACCACCCACTCTGAACACGCCCACTGCCACTCCATACGCCCAGTGGTCGACATTCACAGCCAACGGCCCGCGCGTTACTAGCCCACGACAAAACTAAGATATTCTTGACCTCGAATAAATTATTCGAGTTTCCCAGACAAGACACGCTGGGCCAGATACAGTCCCATTCTCCCCGTAGCGAGCGCGTGCTCGAAAGAGGAGCACAGGGAAAGATGGGGAACGAAACTGAAATGGGCATCAGGTGTAAGAGGGAGGGGGAGGGGGCGGGGAAAGTGGTGTTGGGGAAGGGAGGGGGAGTTGAGGGGGAGCGGGTTGCGGGGGGTTGTGGTTGGTGGGTGGTGCTGGTGCTGTGGTGTGCTGTGTCCTCGCTGTAGTTGCGCATCACAACGAGAACTAGCGACAGACGGACAGGTTGATGGGGTTTGACGGATGCGTGACGAGGGCAGACTGGAAAGTACTGCCGCAGAAAGTCCATCATAGTCCCAAGTTTGCGAAAGGTTGCGCGACCACAGCGTCGTCGCTCGTCGCGCAGGGATCCTTGGCGAGGCGTTTCGCTCCATGAACTCCGCGCGTTATTGTCACAGAATTATATTGAAATATTTTTACAACGAATGTTATCGTAATACTCCCTGGATGAACTGTAAAATAGCATGCACCTTCTCGGCAAGGATGAAGGGCAATGGTCAGAATAAATTTGATAAAATATCAAAAGGCTGTACAATTTACAAACCACGTCTTATAACATGTTTCTAAAGGAGAAAGCACCACTAGAGTTAACATCTTTAATTGAAGTAAGCATCCCCCTGTTCCAAAGCAGGAATTATCTGGACTGGTGTATCTGGATATTCTCCATGTCAGCCCTCAGCGGCATCCTTCCCAACAAAAACACGGTCACGCAATTGGGGGCTTCTCCTGGCATTAGCACTGGTACTAAACAGTATTTCGTTCTGCTCACGTGACTCAAGACCAGGTCGGCATTGGTCCTTCATTCACTGTACTTCAACACACTTTTGAATAAGTAACTTGATGAACCGAAGCGCTGCGGAACAAGCTAAAGAATCAAACGTCGACTAACGGTGGTATTAGTCCAAGAAAGATTCCTATTCGGCACCTTAACCGGTGAAAGCCGTAATCTTTTACGTCTAGAAGCCATGGCTACTTCAGACACTGTCGCGGTTCGCAGAAAGCGCATAATGGTTGCGATGGATGAAACACGTGGCTCGCGAACCGCGTTACGGTGGACCATAGGCCACGTGGCTTCAGAGGGCGAAGACACCGTGCTGCTGCTGTGCGTACAGGACCCGTCCGTGCAGCCAGGTACAAGGAAGAGGAAGAGGAGGAGGAACATGCCCTCTCGTAGTGAAACAAAGGACAAACTAAATGCTTTTTGGGAGTGCCGAGTACGGTTGCACGGTTTAAGGAGCTTTCAAATGTCATGCCATAACGCGCATGTTCGACGTTTCAGAAAAAAACAACCTAAATGCGCCTTTCGTCCCCGTTTCCTCTGTCTTCCGTGTTGCGGCTGCCTCTCTTCCTGTATCTCTGTCGCCAGTGGCTGTGACTCCTCAGCTCCTCGACAGCCTCATGGAGCGCTCACGGCAGATGTGCCAGGAGACGGACAAGCAGGTCAGCTCCCGCTCCCTAGCACCATCATCATCTGCTTCCGTCCTCATTATTTCGCTTCGTCCGTTCCGCCTTCTTCACCACTGACGCCCTCCCTCATCCGCGGCCCGCCTGCTTGCCTACTTGCCTGCTCGCCTGCTTGCCTGCTCGCCTGCCTGTCTGCTGGTCTGCCTGTTCATCGCTCCAGGTGCAGTGCGAGGGAGCGTTTGCGGAAGGCGATGTGCGGGAGAAGATTGTGTCTATATGCGCGGACAGGGATGTGGACCTCCTTGTGCTCGGTAGCCGCCGCCAACTCTCCTCCCACCGGTGAGGGACCACGCAACCCCTCCCTCCCACCACCCATCCACCCACTCACCCACCTGTGCTTTCCCTAACCCAACAGCATATGCAGCTCGCTTACCTCACCAATTTGAAACCCTAACCCTTCCCTCCTTTCCTCTCTTCCCCACCTTTCCCCCCTCTCTTTCCCCCCTTCGCCCCGTTCCTCTTCCCCTCCTATTCTCTATCCCCTCATCCTCTTTCCTCCCCTCTCTCAATACCTTTTATATATTGCTGCACTTATGCCCCTCCTCTTGCCGCTTTTCCACCTCTCTTCGTTGCCTTCTGCTCCCCGGAAATGTACCCATCCCCAATCCACCCTCCTATTCACTCCCCATCCCCACTAATCCCCACCTTATTTCCCGATCCATCCACCCCCCAATTCACCCCCCTATCGTCTATCCCCTTATCCACCCTCCACCCACCCCCCCTTTCACTCCGACCCCCCTTTCACCCCGCAGCATGTTGACAGGCAGCCGGGGCAACTACTGTGCAGTGTGTGCGCCGTGCCCGGTGCTGGTGGTGCGCATGGCGCCAGAGGAGGAGCAGATGCGCCTGCAGTGCAACCGCCCGCGCCGCATCGCGGTAGGGCTGGACAGGAGTGAGGCGAGTGGCGAGGCATGCAAGTGGGTGCTGCACCACGTGTGCCGCACAGAGGACCGCCTCTACCTGCTGCATGCCGACCGAGAACCCAGCTATGCCATGCAAGGTGCGCTGGCTTATGGGAAATGTGCCCGATGACGGTTGGAGTTGATGACTATGGCATGGCCTTGGGGAATGTGGGCAAGGTGGTGTTTACTCTCCCCAATCTGTGAACGGGAGGATTTGTGGATGGTGTGCAATGTCCTTGGGCGTTTGCGGTTCTAGGTCTGTTTCCCTTGCTTGACGTCTGCTTTCCCAACCGCTGTTAACACCCCCCTCGCTCTCCATATGCGCACATTGTAACCAGACCGCATGCTAGCAGCTGATGGGAAAAAGACAAATGACATGGTGATGCGGCCCCACTTTGACGCTCTCATCTCCCTCGCGTTGCAAACAAAGGTACCACCCTTCCTCTCCTTGACCCCTCCTTTCAGCCTTTGCATAACAGCATTATCTTGCAAATCTCCTGCAACCTCCGCTTTGTGGCTCTCTTCTTTTCTGTGTGGGACTGCAACTCGACCTCTTAGTTCCCCACTTTTCATGCATCTGTCCACCTTTGGGTTCTCAGGGGGCATCGTTCGAAGTTTCCACTCATGTGCTTGAGGGCGATCCTCGCCCGTTACTGGTGGAATTCTGCGAGCGCAATCATATCGATTTGCTGGTTGTTGCAACAAGAGGAACAGGCTCAGTTCGCGGGTAAGTTTGCTGGTTGTTTTTTTGGTGTAAACATAATACATGTACCGTAATTGTTTTCGTGTAGGTGTTTTTTTCTAACCCTGAAACAAAGACCTGCTCTTTGTTGCTTGAGCAGGGTTGTCCTTGGAAATGTGAGTGCGTACATGGTGCAATATTGTCCTTGCTCCCTTCTCCTATATCGTCAGAAGACAAAGCTGATGTCTCCTTGACAACTGGCACCCTCCTCATAGCTAATGACAAAGCCCTTGTAATTTAGTCACTATTACTAGTGAATTCATCTAGGATGTTTAAGTCTGGTTGCACTGTATAAGCTGAGTGTAGGTTCGCCCGGTTCTCGCGTTTCGCCGTCGTCAGCATGGAGCAATTCTCAAGGGTCATCTTTGGAATCACCACGAGATGCCTGCGGCCGACGCCTGTCGTCGTTTCTCATGCGCGGAAAGACTTGAGGCTGAAACTGGTTCAGTCTGGTTACCGCGACACGCGATCCCCCCCGCATCATTTCGCCGCTGTTTTTGTCCCTCTCTGCACTCGTTTCGCTCACTCATTCCCTGACCTCTGTACAGCGACAGAGCCGACGACGCTGCCGCCATTTTCTGCTGCAGGAGGGACAGTCGTGTCTCATCGCTTACCGCACTTGCTCGTAGGTCTGGCCAGTAATCCTCACTCAAGTTCACCGTCGTAGTTTATAGTCTGGTCGGTAAGCGCATTTCAACTCACCCACTCCAGTTTCCACTGCTTCTCAAGGTTCTCCTGCTCTCAGTGCTACCCTTTACCGGCTCTTGCGCGTGTGTATTCTCCGTATTCGGGCTTCAACTGCTTATCTCGCAACGAGCTTCTTCGAATGGCCGGATCTGCGATGGTGGTAGAGAACCCCGTCTTTTCTTCGGCTAACCTCTTCAAGCCTAAGATTCACCCAGATACGTACGAACCTGGAAGCGTGTTCGACGACTCATTTCACACGCCTACCTCGAATCCGGCCAAGAATGGCGTCAACATCGCACGGAAGATGCTCGTCACGAAATGGGGTCTTCCCTGGGGGTCTGGCAACTCAGACGCAAAACGCATGGATCTCGACACGGGTGGCGGTCAGGTTCATCAGCAAAATGACGTGCGCGGATTTGACGGAGAAACGCGTACAATGGACAATCCCATTTTCATGGCGCCAAGCTTCTTGGCCGACGCCGGAAGCATCCGTGTTCTGCAGTCGCAGGCGTCGCTTGCTTCGACTGGACGCGCGGGAATGATAGACGGCGAGATTCAGCGGCTCATTCGGGATAAGCGGCTGGAGGATCCCTTTTACGTGATGGACATTGGGGAAATCGTCCGTCTGTTTACGGTGCGTCGCACTCCCTTCATTACTTAAACTTGTGCAATCTTCGTTCTGGAATTCGTTCTTAAACATTGGAGAATCATTCTGACAAGCTCTCGTCTCTTGTGGTTTGTTTCTTCTTGCAGGGATGGACGAACTCCTTTCCCCGGGTCCATCCGTTCTACGCGGTGAAGTGCAACCCGTCGCCGCTGCTCCTCTCTGTGCTTGCATCCTTAGGAGCGGGATTCGACTGCGCGAGCAAGGCCGAGATTTCTCAGGTCGGTCTGCAAGACGCCTCCTCGTTAATCATTTACTACACCTCAAATCCGCTCGAGATTCGTCTGCAGTTGTTAGCTATGATGCTGACTGTTATCGGTGCTGCTCGCTTTGCAGGTTCTGAGCATGGGTGTGTCGCCTGACAATATCATCTTCGCCAACCCCTGCAAGATGCCGTCACACGTCACCTACGCCTCGCGAGTGGGTGTGCGTGCGACGACGTTCGACTCTGAATCCGAGCTTGTCAAGGTACAAATCCTGACTCATGAACCGTTAAGTTGAAATAAGAAATTGCAGCTCAATCATTCTCAGATTTTCCTTCCTTTTTCTTTCTTGAATCTAATGCGCTCAAATGTTGGAACACAGGTACACGCGTTGAACCCGTCTGCGGTGGTGCTGCTCCGTCTGCAAGCCAACGACTCCACGGCTCGCTGCAACCTCGGCGTCAAGTACGGCGCGCTCATGCACGAGGTGCCTTCTCTCCTCGCCGTCGCGGCCCGCCTCAAGCTCCACGTAGCGGGAGTATCGTTCCACGTCGGTAGCGGCGCGGCTGATCCCGCTGCATTCACCCGCGCCATAGCTGCAGCGCGCGACGTGTTCGACATGGCTGCTGACGTGGCACGAGCGGCCGGCACGCCTGCCATGTCGGTTCTCGACGTGGGCGGCGGGTTTACGGCGCCTGGGACGGGTTGCTCTGGCGGCATGGCTTTCGACGCTGCGGCCAATGGTGAGTTACCTGAATCCCTTGATTCGCCCTGATCTGTTTTTTTCGCTTTGTGATATCCTGATTCGCGTTCCTGGCTCCTGTTTGTCTAGATTTGCTTGCTGTTCACCCAATTTTCGCTTCGATTTTCAGTGTGCTGATAAGTTTATTTTTTCTTTCACTGCAGCGATCAACTCGGCGCTTGACCGCTTCTTCCCGGAAGCCAGCGGCGTGACGGTGATCGCGGAGCCTGGCAGGTACTTTGCTGAGACGCCCTCGACGCTCGCGACTTGCGTCTTCGGCCGTCGGGTACGCGGCGAGCGGCGCGAGTACTGGATCAACGACGGGCTGTACGGCTCGATGAACTGCGCGCTCTATGACCACGCGACTGTGCGCGCGCACCCGCTTGCGCGCGCGTCCGCCGCTTATGACGGGTCTTCCGCCAACAACGAATTTGATGGCGGAAGATTTGAGGTTATTGACGTGAGCGGCGGCGGCGGTACGGATGACAAGGCGGAAGATGGCGAGGGCTTGCCTCCGGAGGCGGAGTGCGGGGGAAAGCGCAGGAAGGGCGGCGGAGGCGCGGGAGCTTTGCGCGGGGCGAGCGGAGCGTCCTTCCCGTCGACGGTGTTCGGTCCCACGTGCGACGGGCTGGATATGGTTCTGCGCGACGAGGCGCTGCCTGAGCTGGCGATCGGTGATTGGCTGGTGTTTCCAAACATGGGCGCGTACACTGCGGCGGCTGGGTCCAGCTTTAACGGGTTCGCGACCGGGGAGATTAAGACGTATTTGGTGTACACCGTGGAAGGAGAGGAGGAGCACGGCGGCAAGGCGGGCCTGGCGGCTGCAGGGATCAACGGCGGAAGTGGAAGCGGAAGCGGAACGTTTGAGGGGATGAGCATGTGCGAGATGCTGGGAGGGGATGGCGGTGGCATGGGGGAGGCAGCGGGAGAGGCGGGGATGTACCTGACGCGGTCGGCGTCAGAGGAGATGCTGCACACGCCGCGGAGCTCTGGCGGAGGCAGCAGCGACCGCGGGAGTCTGGGCGGCGTGTGCGACGCGGCTGGCAGTGAGAGCATCTGAGGCGGAACGAAAGGAGGTGGAGGATGAGGAATATTCACAAGCCGATTCTTGGCAGCAAGTTTGGAGCTGCAACGTATAGGAGAATAAGAGCAGGTCTAGGGCCTGCAATAAGAGCGCCTCGGAATTGGTTAGCTGCGAGACGTTCCACAACGTGCAGCGATTTTTTTGTTTGTATGTATTGTTTATATTACAATAACATTATGCATTACATTTCCCAAGCAGCATGCCATCCTAGTACATGTACAGCAGCAAAAGCTAACACATACACAAAGTGCAACTCCAAATTGTCAACTAGACCAGCAAGTTGCAAGATCTTTTGTGCATGCATGCCTAAGATCAGAGTCCATTATATCATGGGCACTCTCTGCTCTTCTGACTTGTCAGATGCAGCACCGCGGTAGTGAAGTGCAGCTGTAGTATGACCATTACCTAAATAAAAATCATCGTCTCTGTACCCGTCATCAATACTGGTCCCAGGAGCAAAAGCTGCTGTTGCAGCACTCTCTCCCGAACCTTCCCCTCCCATTCCTTCACCTGCACCACTCTCATCCCCATGTTCAGGATCGTTGTCCAAATACGGTGCATTCTGGCTGTGATCATGGATGCCGCTGCTGCTGCTATCGCCATGCAGATCCAAGAAGCGGGATTTCTCCATCTCGTCGTGCTGCCGTCTGTGGCGGTGCTGGTGGCGCAGAATGAGTGCGATGACACAGCACATGGCGACGGCGACCAGGAAGGCGAAGGAGAGAATGACGGTTGTCACCCATGTGCCCGTGACGTCGGTGACTGCTGGTTCAAACTCGGTTACTGGAAGGTGGGGAAATGGACGGCAGGGAGGGAGGGAGATGGAGAGGGCGAGAGAGAGAGAGGGAGAGCGAGAGGGAGAGCGAGAGGGAGAGGGAAAAGGGGCAGGTTGTGGAGCAGGCTAGGAAGCAGAAATTTACCATGGAAGGCGAGCGGGCATACTGAACGAGGTTGGCTGAACAGCAGGGCTAGCAAGCGGAAACCAGTGGGAGCTAGACAACCAGCTTCGCTTGTAGCAGGAACTGAGCATTCCCAGCGATCGGTGACTAAACCACTGACCGCGTGGAGCAGGAGGGGGCGGGGGAGCCACACACGTATCACACGCCAGTGACACGTAGAGCACCCCTGGTATGTCGATAACCGCTACACCGCCTGACATGGCTGCAGTGGGGTTGCGCCGATGTGGCCCCGTGGCCGTGGGTTGTTGCTCGGCGGGCAGCGAGAAGTTGGCGGGGCAGAGCGGGAATTCGGCAACGGTGGAGGTGTAGAGGAAGAAGTGGCGCTGGTATATGCCGCACTGCTTGCACTGCTCGTGACCCAGCTGTGTCACTGGCTGTTGGTGGGATGCGTGGGGGGATGGAGACCGAGTGGGAGTGGGGAGCGACGGAGGGAGTGGGGGAGGGGAAGGAGGTGGATGAGTCAAGTTGGGGTAGAGGAGAAGGAGGAGTTACGGAGACATGGTGACTGCGAGTGATCAGGGGGGATCTTTGAAGGACAGATCAGGTGGAGGGGGGAACAACAGAAGCTTTCAGAGAAGGACCAGGTGAGATAGACACGATACGACAAGAGGCGACAGAAGCTGGCACGCGGGTGTGCGCTTGCAATCACTTCACTGCCTATCATTCCTGCCTTGTTGACATGCTATGCAACCAGCCCCTTTCTTGTGCTTGTCCCCAATCACGCCTTCACCACTTGAGGTGCTCCGATACTCTGCTCCGCCCTTCGCTCAGACCACCATTCCATGTGCCCACCTGCCTACCTCCTGCCACGTGCCACCCGCCATGTGCCACCCGCCATGTGCCTACCTGCTGCCGGGCCGGCCACATGTCTACCAGCCACGGCGGGCACTGGCAATCCTGTGCGCACCTGCCATGGCTCGGAGCCAGAGAATTCGACTTTGGTGAGAATGCTGTGGACTTGCGGCAGGGCGATGTGCGACGCGTCGTCCTTGCACGAGAAGAAGACGCTGGGCGGCAGCACCATGCCCGTGTCCCTCATTACAGTCACGCTCTGGAGAGTCACGTTGAAAGGTCCTCTTGCTGCTGCTGCTGCCGCGGCTGCTGCAGCTGCTGCTGTTGTTTTTGCTGATGCTGCTGCTGCTGCTGCTGCGACCACTGGGGAGGGAAATGGGTGACAGACAACCGGGTTGTTGTGAGAATTGGACATGGATTGGGATTGTTGGGGACAGGGTGGGGGATGGGCGGAATTTGGAACATACAGGGACGGACATGAGCAGAGGAGAACAGGCAAAGCTTACTTTCAAGCAGCAGCAAAGCTAGGATTTTGGGGAGGAAGCGCCGGATGCACGTTATGTCCCGTTGCATCTTGACACGTGTCCCGTCCACGAACTCGCCCGCCCGGGATTTGGGTAATCCTACGCCCTTCTAACGACGGCGTTGCAAGGGGACCGAATCTAAGCAGAGTCGACCAATTCGCGCCCACCCGAATCTGAGAGCAAGGAAGCGAGAAGAGATTGGATTTTTTTCTCCAGCTCCCATCGACTAATAAACTGATAGTGGCTGCCGCTGCTGCTGCTGGCTAGCACGAAAGCGGCGATTCTGGATTACTCGCAGCTTACATCTCAACGCCAACTAGCGGACTCGCGTGCCACGCGAACGAACAACATCTGCCCGAAATACCGAGAATTATGACGAGACAACAATGGCAGACAAGGGCACGCGCACTGCTACCGGCGCGACTCAAGGATCCTCAATAGAGACACAAGCAGAATGAGAGGGAACAACTGTAGGTGGGGTGGGTGGGGTGGGGGATGAAGGGCACTGGTGGAAGGCATAAGGTGGGAAGAGGGGCAGGATCAGCAAAGTAGCATGCTTTGATTTGATTCGTTTCTGTGCGGTCGTGTACGTTTTGGACTGATTTGGTACTTCGTGGTGTGATGCACCTGACCTGACAGCAGTGCGCCATACGGTGCTAGTGGTTTCGTTCTGTTTCGCTATGTTCCAAAAGGGTAATGTACGATAGCATAGTTCTTCCTTTACGTACAGAATTCAACCGCACGCGATGATCGCGCTAAATGCAGCATCGCATCTGGACAACTTGTTCTAGAGAGCGGGAATCATGGAAAATGCAGGTGTAGCTATGGATTCGGTGACGAATGGTCAAGGTATAGAATGGGCTAAAATATGTTCTATGGTATGCACCTTTCACATCACACTGCCCCTGCTCTAATTTAATCCTCCGTTTCGTAAGGAGCTTGACGTTATTATGGCACTAGCGTTACATATTAGCAACCAAAAATAAGAAAAAGAGGTAGCAGGTGATCCTAGGCAACAAACCACAGAATATACACTTCCATCCAACAATACCTACAAGCCCATTGGAATAAAAAATTACCCACCATAAGGAACACTATGCATCACATTCAAAAACTGCACCCATATTACGGCTCCAAGCACCATATACATCTCCCCTTCGTCTCCAAAGCTCAAACCTCATAACATGCCACCCAGACCAACTCTCACGAGGAGGTGTCCATGGCATTTAATGCCATATCAGAGGGCCGCTTCGGCCCACTCATGCGGTGGCCAATAGCCGAAGCAGCAGGGCGGTCCAGCCATGCGAGGCACATGGCTGCCGTCCAGGAGAAGTTTGCTCCACCCGCCCCTGCTCCGCTCAGTGGGTCAAAGTATTCGTGCAGCCCTGCTTGCGATGTGAGGTGCAGAGAACTGTTGCGCACCTTCTCGGCTAGCTCTGACAGCCTGCACACGGCACACAACAAGAAGGGCAGAAACATGTTCAACGCTCTCATCCTCACAACTCTTCTCCACAACAAGCCAAAGGAAACTCCGGCGGGGCCTAACCATCACCAAGAACGCTCTTCCCGGCTTACCCATAGTGCTTGAGTCCGTTTGAGACCATTTAGTGGGTGACAAACCACACGGGTCCTTGTGCGCATACCACACCTGTTAAGGAATCTTTCTAGGAGACTAAAAACCATCACCCAGAGTGCTCTTCCCGGCTTACCCATAGTGCTTGAGTCCGTTTGAAACCATCCAGTTAATGATGAGCCACACGGGTCCGCGCCAGTAGCGCAGCGCCTCAAAGCGCGGGTCCGAGGGGTCGGTGCTGGGCACACCGTAGGGCACCTGCTCCTGCCACCGCTTCAGGGTCACTGCCAGCCGCGCCGCTTGCTTCTTTGTGGCCGCTCCTGCATGGGAGGTGGAGGAGGGAGGGGAGTGGAGGGGGGTTGGGTGGGGAAGAGATGGGGTGGGTTGTGGGAGCACTCTACAGTGACCTGGTTGCGGCGTCACTGCCAGTCATGCGACCTGCTTCTTCATTGCTGCTCGTGGATGGGAGGGGGTTGGGAGGTGGGGGGAGAGATGGGGAGGGCAGGCCGCAAGAAGGACGGTGAGACAGGAGCGTGAGGAAGGGGATGGAGGGCGGGTAAGGGGCTTACTTTGGAGAGCAAAAGCAGGAAGACGGTCACTCCCATGAAAAGGCATGGAGGAGCAATGTTGGAGCATGAAGTAACTGTTTTCTATTCTTTTCTGAAACTGGAAGACATTCCCCAGCGCTGGACACTCCTCAGATCTCACCTGCGAAGAGCGGGAGGAAACCCGCAGAGGTCTTGGCATCCAGCAGCTTCCCCGTGAGCTGGTCCTTGCACTTGAAGATCCCATCGTGTTCATCCCACAGCGTCTCGAACCCGCGGAACCCCGCGTCGAGCCAGCTCTCGATCTCCGCAGCCACGTCCTCGTGGCCGAGCTTGAGTGCGAGCCAGCGCAGGTCGCGATTGGCGCGCAGCAGAATGGAGTTGACGCACAGGTCCGTGACGCGGAAGGGCGAGATGTGGTACAGCTGTGACGAGTCGTAGAAGTTGGTGTTCTTGAAGCTGCCCAGGAGGAGGGAAAGGGGAGAACGATGGGATGGGTGCGGGGGTTTGAGGGAAAGGATGGAAAGGGTGTCGGGAGGGTTTTAGAGCAGGTGGCGGGGTTGAGCAAGGTGAAGCGGCATGGGGGAAGCGAAAAAGTGAGGGGATGATAGAGTGTGGGAGGGAAAACACGGGAGACAGATTGTGCGTACATGTAGAGGAGTGTGAGGTAGCGGTCATATGTGGCCTTGTTTGATAAACGTAAAGGTGCATGCACGTTCTAATGGATTCTGGTGACGCAAATGCTTAGTGTGCGTACGTGTAGAGGAGTGTGAGGTAGCGGTCATATGTAGCCTTGTTTGATAAACGTACAGGTGCATGCACTTTCTAATGAATTCTGGTGATGCAAATGCTTAGTGTGCGTACGTGTAGAGGAGTGTGAGGTAGCGGTCATATGTAGCCTTGTCAGGGCGCATGGCGGCATCAACGTGTGTGAGGTCGCGGCGCTGGTAGGGTGGCAGGTCAATGATGGGGAACTGCATCGCCTCATCCCACGCAGGGCTGTTGTCCATTCCACTCTCCCACGGGTGCAGGATGGCCACCACGCCCGTGCCTAGGGGGTCGCGCGCCTGGTGGGGTTGGTGAATGGTTGGGGCAGCACAAGGTCATTGGGGCAGCACAAAGATATTGGGGCAGCAAAAGGTTATTCGGGCAGCACAAGGTTATTGGGGCATGAATAGATGGGGATGGATGGGATGAGATGAGGAACCGTGCAATGCTGTGCTGCACAGGGCTGCTGTTGTCCATGCCGCTCTCCCACGGGTGGAGGATCACCACCACTCCTGTGCCCAGCGGGTCACGTGCGTGGTGTGGGTGGTAGTGGGGGTATCGAACAGTAGGTGGGGCATGAGCAACTGAGCAATGCTGTGTTTCATTTCATGGGGTTGCTGTTCTCCATGCTGGCTGCACGGTTGCAGCGCAGTGCACTATTTTTATTGTTCTCTTTCCTCTCTATTGTCACGAAAGGGTTCCCTCCATCACCTCCTCCTGTTCTTGCGAAAGCCATCACCTTCTCACAAGCCATGTCCATCAGAACAGCCTCCCACCTTGGTTTCAAATTCTTGTCAGAATGCCAAGAGAAAACTCACCCAGCCACCAAGCACCCACCTTGTACCACCAGCGGTGCCATGCCAGAAGCTTCGGAAACAGCAGCTCCATCTTCTCCCTCGCGAGTTCCTTATCCACCGCATGCTCATACAAGAACCGCACAGAGAGCGTCGCCACTGGCGGCTGGGTGATGCCCGTGGAGGGGCTGGGGCGCTCCTTGCTGCCCCATATCTCGGGCCCCGGGAAGTAGGAGTCCGTGGGGCGGTGGAAGAGGATGGATGGCACCATGCCGTCGCTCCACTGCCCCGACATTAGCATCTCAATCTCTTGCCACGCACGCGGCTCGTCGAAAACTGCCCAGCCTGCTGCCACGATGGCACTGTCCCAGTTCCACTGGTGAGAGGGGGGAGAGGGACGAGAACGAGGGAGAGCGAGCGGGAGAGGCGGGGAGGGGAATCTGAAAACACGAAACGAAACGGAAGAGCGCATGCTCCAACGGTGGACGGACATGAAAGGGGGAAAGAGTCGTGGCTAACGCGGGAACCGGTAGCGAGATGACTCTTGAACCAATTCAGAAGGACTAACCGACGGACGGACAAGTGGACGGGCGGACGGACGGGCGAACGAACGGACGGGCGGACGGACGGACGGACGGACGGAAGGACGGGCGGAGGGACGAGCGGACAGAAGGACGTGCGGAGGGACGGGCGGAGGGACTGGCGGACGAAAGGACGGGCGGGGGGACTGGCGTACGTAAGGATGGGCGGAGGGACGGGCGGACAGACCTGGAAGGGGTAAAGGCCTTGCGTGGGGATGGTGTAGCCGCCCAGGTCGTTCTCCCGCAGCACGCGCATGGAGTGGTCCACTATCGCGCGCCGCCCTGGCGGCAGCTCCGAATCCTCCAGCATGCTGGCGGAAAAATGGATGGATGCCACAGGGGGTGAGATGCAGCAGGGGGCATGGTGGGACGAGGTTTGGGGCGCTTCGTACGTCGACGGGCATGATTGGCGAGAGTGAGGAGAAAGGGCATTGTCGGAAGAGACGAGTATGGGGAAAAAGGAGGAGGATAGACGCGATCAGGAGAGAGGGGAAGACAGATAGCGAGAGAAGGAAGAGACGTATGGAGAGGGGAGCTAGGGAAGTTCCGTTGGAAACCAAAGAATGTGCTTGCTGATATTACTTTTCGCAACATTGGAGTTAGTGGCAATTAGGCACACTCCATCACGCAATCAGCTGCCCAGTGATTGCACATCGGGTCAGAGTGGTGTTTCAGTTCTCTCAACAACGATAGCTTCGCACACACTAGTTTGTAGAGTTCCTTGCTTCGCGTGCATCGAGCACGTGCACGTGCGCAGCACCTTTTGACTACACAGAATTCATTTCGCGCGCACGTGCTCAGCATCCCCATGCCAAACTCCCCACGTTCATCCCATTCTCCAAATCCCACTCCCACCTCACCCCTCCCCTTTTCACCCGCTCCCCACCAGAAACTCACCTCCAATTCTACCCCATCCACAGCCAAGACTCCAACTCACCCGGGCGTCACAAGAGAGAAGAGGTGTCTCAAGCTGCCGGCTCGCCACTGCGCCTGGTCCGACGGCGACTTCATCAGCGCGCCCGCCACCACGCCGTTCGTTCCCTTGCTCGCCGCAATACCGCCACCACCGCGGGGCTGCATGTCCATCGGGAGTGCCGACACGTCGTCGTTCGACCACCCGCGTGATATCCCAGCCGCCGCGACGGCGTCACTGGGCGAGCCGCCGGCGCTGCCGCCGCCGCCGCCGCCGCCGCCGCCACCACCTTGATGACTCATGGGCTTGCTGATGATCCCGTTCTTACCCCGCTCCGACATTTCTGCTTCAACGCGCGAAGCTCCTCCCTCCTCCGAATGTGCCATGTCATCGATTGGATCCCTCCACGTCAGCTTGTTACCATTTCTGCCGGCGGAGAGTTTCCCCCCGCCGGTCGCGGAGATGGCGTCGGAAAGCCAGGGCGCGCAGGCGAGGCAGGAGGAAAAGAGGCGGAAGAGGGTCGAGGGGGACGGGGGAGGCGGCGACGCGCGGATGAGAGGCCCAGGCGCGGGGAGAGCGGCGGAACGAGCGACGACGAGGGTTTCGCCTCCCCCCTGCGGGAGATGGCCCACGTCGCCCATGGTGACTGCCGATGGATGGTGGACCGTTGGCTCTTTCAGACTTGGCGCGTAGCAGTGTCTTCTGCCAGCGTGCGGAGCAATGGCTTGTTTATAACAGCTGCCAAATGATGACAAAGTCAGTGTTGGCGTTAGTGTGAGTTATCTGGCGTTAGATGCGCCGGTTGCGGCGCGTTGGCGGGCGTTGAAAACGCGTTGGTAGTGCGGTTAACAGGGGCGTAAGTGCAGTTAAGGATAGTATGGACTCGTTCGCGGTGAAGGGTAATGGTCGCCAGACTGAGCGACGCGCGACGCGAAGATGCGAGGAGTTTCGGTCACAAGATTCTTCGTGAGCAGCGACCGGCGAGCGGAAGCACAGGGCAATTTTCCCGCCACGAGTGGACGAGCTCACAAAGAAGCGAGAGACCGGGAGAGTAAGTGGGTCCGATCAAATGTATGCTGTCAAAACACGGCGGTATGAGTGTTCAGTACCAGTTAGTATCCGTCAGACATGAGTGTGAGTTGCGCACACGAGAAGTTGGCCGATGACGCTGATGGTGAGAAACCCAAGGGTGATGACACTGGGCTTCTCGTGGTCCCCTCCTCAGCAGCCACGGGATGGCCGGGTCGTGGTGGTATCGGGAGAACGAATTGAGTACCACCAAGATCTGAGGAACGAATCAGGTGCAGCTCTGTCGGGTAATTTGGGCAGAACCTGGCGACGGACACGAGTCCTAATGCGGGCGGTCCCGAGGTTGTGCAGTGCTGCGGCTGTGCAATTTAGGAAGCACAAACGATTTGGGTTGAGCAGAAGCAGAATGCGGATGTACAATAATAAGAGGTACAACTCCCGATGCCGTTTCGGGGGAGTTGAGCTGGGACAGAATCAAGGGTCAAATCGGGAGGAGGGGCGCGTAAGTGGAACGCGACTCTTCGTGGAGCAGATTTGAGTCTAGAGAGTTCCACAGCAGGCTGTCCCTTGAGAAATTAGATTTTGGGAGGAAGGGATGTGAGTGAGTAGTCTAGGTCGTGGTTCGTAACGAACGCAGCTGACATGGTGGTTCGGCCGGACCTAGTTTTAGCCAATGTGTTGCCTCGGTATTACACACCTTCTGCTTTGATTAAGGTTGAAGCCAATCGAAGCCATGAAAAGGTTGGACAAGTGAGCTTTGCCAAGCCAGCCACGGTGATAAACGTTTTGTCAAGAAAGGCGAGCAGCTGAAGGTTCAGGTCCTGCCCTGGACCTTGGTGTGGCGACGAGGCAATGAAGAGGCGCGTCTCGAAGTCGCGCATATGTGGCATGCACTGATTGCTGGAAACCAGATTTTGCGAACCGATGCCCCAAATTGGTGGAATTGCCCCATGGAGCGGTTTCAAGGGGCGGCGCAATTAGCCTGGACGACACGCGTGTTGCGCATCACGTGACGTAACTCTCCTTTGAACTCAATCACAGAATTACACGTGGAAAACACTAGCCAATCAGTGATGATGATATTTCTAGTAGTCACCAATCAGCTCAACTGAAAAACCCTAAGGCTCATCCTTCGGGATTCCCGCTTCGCGCTGTGGCTTGTGCCTGTTACTTCCACGCAACTGGGTCCCTGGTTTGGCTTGGCATCCTGGTTGGGGTGGGAGGTTCGGGGGTGTCAAAACCAGCCATAGATTCCATTGAGGTGCATGAATGTTGGGGTTCAGACAGAAGGCCAAGCAAACAGAGCACTTTTGTTACGAGTGCAATTGAGTGAACGAACGAGAATTGTACTATCGAAGCAAGAGTACAATGAGCGAAGGCATGAGCGAAGAATATATAGCGAAACTACAGTGGTAACGGTAATGGTCGCGCGACGAGCCTGGGACTGAGGTTGGGAACGTGTCGAAGCGTAGGCCCGGAGCGCGGGTTACCAGCCGAGCCGTGAGGTCGGGATGCGATGTGCGAAAATGGCGGGATGATGAATGATGCGATGGTCGCGAGTGGTAACGGTGCTGACTGAGGTGCTACAGTGATGTACGCGTTGAGCAGAGATGCGAAGTAAGGAAAAGGGAATTTCCTTACACTACCCCCCCCCCCCTCCTAAAAGGTCCTCCTTACGAAAGCGCGTGGACGTCTTTGAAGTTTCGGCTGCGTAGATAGTCGGTGACGACAGGGTGGTTTTCAATTCTGTCCAGGGGAACCCAGTTGTCCTCGGTGGGTGTACGATCTTTCCAGCGAATCAGAAACTCAACTTTTCGGGCCCCTCGAGGGTCGCGAACTCTGTGGCTCAAGATTTTGTCGGGGGTGATGACTGGTTCGGTTGGTGGTCGTGACATCCTGGATGGTCGATGTCGTGGGAGTTGGCTGGTGGATGGTACGTAAGGGCGAAGCAGGCTGACGTGGAACGAGGGGCTGACGTACCAGTCAGCAGGAAGGAGGAGGTGCGCGGTGACAGGTGTGATCATGTGACTGATTCGAAATGCCCCACAGTATCGAGGGCGGAGTTTGGGAGTGATGGGCAGGCGAAGGTTCTGAGTGTCGAGTAAAACGAGGTCGTTGGGCTGATAAGTGACGGGTCTGCGGTGGCGATCGGCGTTGCGTTTAGCGATGATATTTTTTTTTTTTTTTGCTTCTGCTGCCCTCGTCCGTGCTGCTTGCAAAATCTCGGCGAACTGTTGTGCGCGTGGAACGGGATTGTCGGGGTTTGGTGTCATGGGTACTGTTGGGTTCTGTCCGTAATTCAAGTAGAATGGCGACTGTTGGGTCGTGGCAGATGGCGCGTTGTTGTATGCGAACTCGATGAGAGGCAGCTGCTGCTCCCACGTGTTTGGATCGTCACACGTGGCTCGAATGAGTTGCTCCATAGTCTGGTTTGTCCGTTATGTCTGTCCGTCGGTTTCGGGGTGATACGATGATCTGAATTGAAGTCGCGTGCCGAACTTCTGCCACAGGTTCCGCCAGAAATTACTGGTAAACTTCGTGTCCCTGTCGCTGATGATCGACGCTGGTATCCCGTGCAGTCGAACGACGGTGGCGATGAAGAGTCGGGCTGTTTCCTCGGCTGTGATTTATTTCCTGCATGCTGCGAAATGTGCCATTTTCGTTAGTCGATCGACGACGACCAGGATCGCGTCATTCCCACTCGCCCCGGCCGGTAACCCCGTGACGAAGTCCATCGTCACCTGCTGCCAAGCACGCTCTGGAGGTGGGATTGGTTGTAATTGTCCTGCCGGCCGCTTCCTGGTTGACTTCATGAGTTGGCAAGTGGGACACGATGCCACGTGTCGTTGCACGTCGGTCAACATTTCCGGCTAGTAATAGTACCGCTGCAGCTGCTGCCATGTTTTTTCTACTCCGAAATGTCTCGAGGTAACTCCGTCGTGTGCCTCTTGTAACAGTAGTTCCCGTAGTAGCGTGTACCCTGGTACCCAGATGCGGTCGGATCCAGCTTTTACGTAATAGGCTCCCTTGGCTGCTGCGAATTGCTGTGAATTTCCTCCTGTGAAGAATGGGTCTGCTTGATATCCGTGGGTAAATAGTCCTGTCAGTCACGGGCTGGTCTGGGCGAGTAGTATCGCATGTATTTGGGCAGTGGGGCGGGTCAGTGCGTCGGCGATATTCGAGGCTCCTTTTTTATATGTGACCATATAGTGGAAATTCGATTCGAGGAAGTCGAGCCACCGAATCTGTCGTGGGTTGAGGTGGGGCTGTGCGCGAAGGTACTGTAGGGATCGATGGTCTGTCCGTACCGTCGTGTCTGCGCCGGTCAAGTAGCAACGCCACACTTTGAATGCATGCACGATCGCGAGCATTTCGCGGTCGTGTATCGGGTAATTTCGCTCAGGTGGATAAAGCTTGCGTGATTCGTAGGCGATGGGTTGGAGGCCGTTGCCGAAGTCCTGTAACAGTAAGGCTCCGATGGCGATGTCACTCGCGTCTGTAACAACTTCGAAGGGGCGGTGTGGGTCAGCGATGCGTAGGACGGGTGGTGCACAGAGAACATTTTTCAGGGCAGAGAAGGCAGCATGCTCTTTCTCCCCCCACGTAAAAGGGACCCCCTTACGCAGTAAATCAGTGAGCGGGGCTCTTAAGCGTGCCATGTCGAGGACGAACCGACGAACGTAATTAACAAACCCTAAAAAACTCTGTAGTTCCGTGATGTTCGTCGGGGGATGCCACGCTTTTACGGTATCCAGCTTCTTAGGGTCTATCTCAACCCCAGCCTCCGAAATGACGTGACCTAAAAACTCTAGCCTGTCCCGAAAAAACTCGCACTTGGAGCCCTTGGTGAGTAACCGATGTGCCTCTAAAATTTTAAAAACTGCTTCGAGATCTACTAAGTGCTGCTGCTGGTCCCGACTGTAAACGAGGATGTCGTCGAGGTAAATTATGACGCATTTATCTAAAAGTGGCCTAAACGCCTCGTTCATGGTCATCGGAAATGTTGCAGGCGCGTTGGTCAGCCCGAAAGGCATCACCGTGTACTCGAATGACCCGTACCTAGTCCTAAATGCTGTCTTGGCGCAGTCCGATGGTTCGACCCGAATTTGATGGTAACCTACCCGTAAGTCTATTCTCGAAAATACTCGTGCGGTTCGCAGCTGGTCGATCAGTTCGTCGGCGCAGGGGATGGGGTATCGTGATTTTACTGTTACCCTGTTAAGCGCTCGGTAGTCGATGCACATGCGAAACCCCCCGTCTTTTTTCGGTGTGAACGGTATTGGTGCGGCGAACGGTGACGAGCTCGGTCGGATAAAGTGCTTCTCTAACAGGTAATCTAACTGCTTCCTTAGCTCGTCGAGCTCGGGCTGTGTCAGTCGAAATTGGCGCTGTACAATTGGCTGTGCCCCCGGTTCTAACTCGATCCTATGGTCATGCGCCCGCTGAGGTTGCAGCCCTTGCAGTAAGTCATCCGTAAAGATACCCGGGAACCGTTTCAGTAGTGCCTGTAGTTCGGGTGGTACGGCTGCCAACAGTTTCTGCAAATCACTCGGCCGGTCCTCTTTTTCCACTAATGCGATATCCACTGCGTACACGTCAGCTTCAGCAGCGACAGCCCGTTTCATCGTGATGGCGTTGACCTGGAGCGTCGAAGACTCGGGTGGCTGCCAGCGAGGTAGGACGACCCAGTTACCACTACTTCGCACTGTGCAGCTACCCGTCGTCCAGTCAATTCGTGGGTTATACCGTCGCAGCCAATCACGTCCCAATAAAATGTCGTGCCCATCCAGTGTCGTTGCGAGCATTTCCTGTGTAAACCCGAAGTTCCCTCCGCAGCGGACTTTTACTCTCTCCACCTTTTCCCGTATAGCCAGTGGCGTACCGTCGACTAAGCGTGCATCTATCTCAGGTAAGCATCGGTTAAGTGTTAACTGTAATTTCCGTGCGGTTGCTGTATTAACTGTCAGAACATTATAGCTTATGCTTTTGTGTAGGCTATAGTGGGGCATCCCATAGGGGGTACAACCCAATTAGGGTTAGTACTTGTACCCACTTCATTCATAGTTCATCCATTCACGTTCACTTCTTCAAATGGAATCAGAGCAGGTCCCCTCCTAGGGACTGTTCCCAGGGCCCACCGAAGCGCGCCACTGCCTTTCCTACAGTTGCTGTAGGAGCCTCTCGTGGTGACTCGCGCACCCCCATCTTTGAGGGGTGTTCTCCTTCCCCCCTGCTGCCCTCTGTTGCCTCGGCTGCTGCTGCCGATCTGCTTGGTCTTGAGTCGGTCGGCGCGGCGACTGCCCCTAGCGGGAGACGCCGCCCTAGCAAGGGCAAGGGGGGCAAGGGCGCGGGTGGAGCTGGCGGGGGCGGTGGAGGTGGCGGTGGCGGTGGCGGAGGGAGTGGGGGTGGCGGTGGGAGTGGTGGTGGGGGTGGTGGTGGTGGTGGCGGCAGCGGAGGCGGCGGCGGTGGCGGCGGCGGCGGTGGTAGCGGAGGCGGCGGTGGTGGCGGAGGTGGAGGCGGCGGTGGCGGAGGAGGTGGAGCCGGTCGGGGTAGTGCCCCGCAGCGGAGCGGCTCTGGTGGTGGTCAGCGCCAGCAGCAGCAGCAGCGTTCTCGGGACATCCCCCCGCCTCAGCAGCTTCGTGAGTGGTACACGCAGCGTCAGCGTGGTGGGGGTCTTGGCCCGTGCACCTACGTTCTTCGTTCCGGCGATCGCGCGGGTGAGCAGTGTGGGGGTGCCCACTCCACCCAGCGCTGCTTTGGCCGCCTGACGGACGCTTGGCGTCAGCAGTTCCCCGAGGCTAGTGAGATTCCCCGCTGGGGAGAGCTGTCTAGGGCTGGCGTAGAGATCTTTGATCTTGACTTTGATGCTATCCTTGCTGCCATGTATACTGTGACTATTAGTGATGAGGGTGACTGTTACCGGTGTATCCCGCCTGACCCGGGCATTGGTACAGCTGCGCTAGGTGCTTGTGAGGCTACTGCTCTAGGTGCCAGTGCGTCTGCACTCTCAGGTATTGGTGAGGCTGCGCTCTCAGGTACTGCGTCGGCTTCGGCCTCTCTCACCTTCACACTTGACTCATGGGCTTCTCGCTCCTTCTTTCGAGACCGCACCACACTCACGCCGCTTGGTCGGCCGGTTGCAGTCTCCCTGGCTGACCCCTCTAGGGGTCCTGTCCTCGCTCACTTCTCCACTGTCCTCCCGTGTCCGGCTGCCCCCTCGGGCACCCTGTCGGGTCTGTACCTCCCCTCGTTCTCGACGATATTGGTGAGTGGTGCTGACCTGCAGGATGCGGGGGTTCACCAGTTTACTCATGCGAGTCAGCGGGGGACCCAATGCTCGGACGCCCGCACACGCCGACACCTAGCCACGTTTTCGCGTCGGCCCGGGTCGAGTCTCTACACCCTGACCGTTGAGTCTCCTCCAGTCCCTGCGTCTGGTCAGGTAGCTGCGTCGGGTCAGGTGTTTGCTGCTGCGTCCAGGTCTGGTCCTGAGTCTGCCCCCTGCTCGTGTCACCTCCTGTCTCACGAGACTCTCCTGTGGCACCACCGTCTTGGCCACCCCTCCTTGCCTCGTCTTCGGGGCATGGCTTCCCGTGTCCTTGTCTCTGGTCTCCCCCGGTCTCTCCCTCCCCTTCCTTTGGGGCCAGGACCTTCCTGTGTCCCCTGTGTCGAGGGGCGGCTCCGGGCTGCCCCTCACTCCTCCCAGTTTCCCCCGACAGAGGCTCCTCTGCAGACGCTTCACATGGACGTGTGGGGCCCAGCCCGGGTCCGTGGACAGGGTCACGAGCGCTACTTCCTGCTGGTGGTTGACGACTACTCGCGTTACACCACAGTCTTCCCCTTGCGCAGCAAGGGTGATGTCACTGAGGTGTTGATCGACTGGATCCGCGCGGCTCGTTTCCAGCTCAGGAGGAGCTTCGGCTCGGACTTTCCTGTACTGCGTCTGCACTCTGACCGAGGCGGAGAGTTCTCCTCTGGCCTTCTGCGAGCCTACTGTCTTGCACGAGGCATCCGCCAGACCTTCACGCTTCCGAACTCTCCACACCAAAATGGGATTGCTGAGCGCCGCATTGGCATGGTCATGGACGTCGCTCGTACGTCCATGATGCATGCGGCTGCCCCCCATTTTCTGTGGCCGTTTGCCGTTCGGTACGCGGCGCATCAGCTCAACCTTCACCCCAGAGTCTCCCGGCCGGAGACCTCCCCAGCTCTGCTGTGGACGGGGAAGGTAGGCGATGCGTCTGCGTTCCGTGTCTGGGGATCTCGGGCGTTTGTCCGCGACCTGTCTGCGGACAAGCTGTCCCCTCGTGCTGCTCCCTTTGTCATCCTAGGCTCCCCCCCTAACGCCCCAGGGTGCCGGTTCTACCACTCCTCCTCTCGTCGTGTTCTGTCCTCCCAGGACGTCACGTTCGACGAGTCCGTCCCCTTCTACCGCCTCTTCCCTTACCGCACTCCTTCCCTCCCGCCGCCACCGCACTTCCTTGTGCCAGGTCCCCCCCCGGTAGACCCCCTTCCCCCTCAGGGTCCTGCCCCTTCAGGTGTGTCCCAGGTAGATGCAGTCGAGCCGGTCGAGGTTGCTGGTGACTCAGGTACTGCTGGGGGTGCTGAGCCTGGGGGTGCTGAGCCTGGGGGTGCTGACTCTGGGGGTGCTGAGTCTAAGGGTGCTGAGCCTGGGGGTGCTGAGCATGGGGGTGCTGCCTCTGGGGGTGCTGAGCCTCGGGGTGCTGACTCTGAGGGTGCTGCGCGCGTGGGTGCTGAGCCTGGGGGTGCTGAGCCTGGGGGTGCTGCGTCTGGAGCTGCTGCGCCTGGAGGTGTGGAGCCTGCGGCCACTGGACCTCCCCTTGTGGCGTCTAGCGGTACTGGGCCTGGAGGTTCTCCGAGTGTTTCGTCTCGGCGGGAGCCACTCTCTCCACAGGAGCTGCGCGAGTGGTTTGCTCGCCGCTGGAGGCGTACTGCTGGAGCTGGCGCTTCTTCGGCCGCTGAGGGTGCTGGTGCCGCCGGTCCCGGAGCTGCTGGGCCTGCGGGTCCGCCTGGAGCTGGAGCTGTTGAGGGTGTTGGTTCTGAGACTACTACTGTCCGTCTTGGTGGTGGTCGTGCAGCGGGTGCTCCTGGCGCTGCTGGAGTTCCTTTCGCTGGAGGTGCTGTTTGCGCTGGTGCTGCCGGAGGTGCTGAGGGTGCAGGTGCTGTCCCTGCTGTGCCTGGTGCCACCGCGCGACCTCGGCCGTACTTCGTTCCGCTCCTACAGCAGGTTCTTGGTCTTCCTCCTCTCTTAGAGGGTCCACCGCCTGTCCAGTCGCAGTCACAGTTACCGCCGGCCTCCCCACTGCCTTCTCCCTCTCCCTACACTGGTCCTACTGGAGGTCTTGCTGAGCGTCGTGAGCCTGCGTCTCGTCCTGCGTCGCCTGTTCGTGCTGCTCGCACTAGTGGTCGTAGTTCGCGTCAGCGTCCTCCTCCTGTCCCTGGCACGCACCAGATGTCTCTGCGTCCGTCCACTGCTCCTCTGCGTGCCCCTTTGCCCTCTCCTCCTGAGTCCTCTCTTCCTGCGCTTGCCAACCCTGAGTCGGACTCTCTTCGTGCTGCCAGTCCTACTGTCACGCGTCTCCTTGCTACTGTCGTCACTGACCCCTCATTTGAGTCCACTGCTGCGTCTGCTCTTGTTGCTGAGCTCGTCGACTTTGCTGCTCGGTGTCGTCTAGACTACGCTGCTAGTCTTGTTGCTGAGTCTGCGTCTGTCTGTCCTCCGTCCGTCGGGGGTGAGTGTGCTCTTGGCACGGACGTCCTTGAGGACAGGCAGGAGGAGTTTCAGTGTCTGGCTGCTTGCCCCTGAGGGAGACCCGGATGCACTAGACATCCGGACTCCGCGCTCTTATGCGGAGGCCGTAGAGGGTCCCTACTCCTCTCAGTGGCAGGCAGCTATGGATGCAGAGATGGCTTCCTGGAAGTCCACAGGCACCTACGTTGACGCGGTTCCCCCTCCTGGGGCGAACATCGTCAGTGGCATGTGGATCTTCAGGGTGAAGCGTCCGCCAGGCTCTCCACCTGTCTTCAAGGCGCGGTACGTGGCTCGTGGCTTCAGTCAGCGGCAGGGAGTTGACTACTTTCAGACCTTCTCTCCCACCCCGAAGATGACCACTCTTTGGGTGCTGCTGCACATAGCCGCTCAGCGCGATTACGAGCTCCACTCTCTTGACTTCAGCACTGCGTTCTTGCAGGGTAGCCTGCACGAGGAGATCTGGCTGCGCCGTCCACCTGGCTTCACTGGGACTTTCCCTCCTGGCACCCAGTGGAGCCTCCGACGTCCAGTCTACGGTCTCTGCCAGGCACCACGTGAGTGGCACGACACACTGAGGACTACGCTTGCGGCTCTTTGGGTTTGCTCCCTCTACTGCTGACCCGTCGTTGTTTCTGCGCACCGACACTTCTCTGCCGCCGTTCTACATCCTCGTGTACGTCGACGACTTGGTCTTTGCCACAGCTGACACTGCTGGACTCGCCTACGTGAAGTCCGAGCTGCAGAAGAGACACACGTGCACAGACCTGGGTGAACTGCGCAGCTACCTTGGCTTGCAGATCACTCGGGACAGAGCACGCCGCACCATTACCTTGACTCAGTCACACATGGTGCAGCAGGTCCTTCAGCGCTTCGGCTTCACGTACTCCTCGCCTCAGGCCACTCCTCTGTCTACTCGCCACTCGCTCTCAGCTCTGCCTTCGGATGAGTCCGTAGAGTCGAGTGGCCCGTACCCAGAGCTTGTTGGCTGCCTCATGTACCTGATGACCTGCACACGACCTGACCTTGCATACCCTCTTAGCATTCTCGCACGCTATGTTGCTCATGGGAGACACCGGCCAGAGCACATGGCTGCAGCGAAGAGGGTGTTGCGCTACTTGTGCAATACATCGGGCATGGGGCTAGTGCTTGGAGGGCGGAGTCCAGTGGTCCTCACTGAGCACGCGGACGCTTCTTGGGCTGACGACCAGGCTACGCAGCGGTCGTCGCAGGGTTACACCTTCAGTCTTGGTTCCGGCTCTGTTTCGTGGCGGGCTACTCGCTCGTCTTCTGTTCTCGGCTCCAGTTGTGAGGCTGAGATCTACGCCGGGGCCATGGCTGCTCAGGAGCTTCGCTGGCTCACCTACCTGCTGACTGACCTTGGAGAGCCGCCTCGTTCTCCTCCAGTGCTGTACGTAGACAACAAGGCCATGCTGGCCTTGTGTCGAGAGCAGCGCCTGGAGCACAGAACGAAGCACATTGCTCTTCGTTACTTTCTTGCTCGTGAGCTGCAGCAGCGTGGTCAGTTGCGACTTGCGTATGTGGCCTCTGAGGCCAACACTGCTGATGTTTTCACCAAGGCACTTCCGCCTTGTGATCATCAGCGCTTCTGCACTCAGCTGGGACTTGTCCTAGTCTTGCCTCACTTGCTCACCTCTTGACCTTACTTGTACTCTTGCATATATATATACCTACTCTTGCTTGTTTAGACTTATATATATATATGTCTCCTCCTGCATGTGAACTGGCCTTGTGGCCTTGAACTTTTGCTCGGAATGTGTGGTGACGTTGTGATCCACCCTGAGCTTGTTTTGCTTTGCTTTGCTTGACTGGTCTAGTGACCCCTTGTTCTCCCCCATTTTGCCTATGGGGGTGTGTCAGAACATTATAGCTTATGCTTTTGTGTAGGCTATAGTGGGGTATCCCATAGGGGGTACAACCCTATTAGGGTTAGTACTTGTACCCACTTCATTCATAGTTCATCCATTCACGTTCACTTCTTCACATTAACTAAGGTGTGACTTGCTCCTCCGTCAATAAAAATCTTCACTGCTGCTCCCTGTATTTTCCCGTAGATTAGTACCGGGCAATCTGTCGCTGTACCCTCCTTATTCATCCGAGCCCGATCGATGGCATGAATCGGTACTGTGACTCGGTGAGGGTCGGTGTGGTTGGGCGAGCAGGCAGTCTCGTCAGTAGTTGGCCCAACTTCTACTGACTGCTGGCGTTTCCCTGCCTCTGAGACTCCCTCCCCTGCTCTGCTCCTCGGCGCCTCAACTCCTCTGGGCATTCGCTCTTGCGATGGCCCGGCCTGTTGCAAGCAAAGCAGCGCCCCTTAAATGGTGCGGCAGCTGCATTCGTTGCGACGGCGTGTACAGTGGCGTGCTCGGTCGCTCCCCGAGGACGATGTCCGTAATAGGAGCCCGGTCTCGGTCGGCGTAGAATGTCGATCTTCTCGGCGAGCGCGAGAACCTCGTTGAAGTTAGAGAGTCCGCGCAGCATTATCTCGTGCGAGATGTCCGGCTTCAGCCCTCCGACGTAACGGTCCACCCGCTCCGCTTCGTGCATGTAGCCGACCTTCTCGCAAAGTGCGAGAAAACCGCTGGTATAGTCTTGAAGTGACCCGAGCTGGCGCCAAGTGCGCAGTTTCTGACGCACCGAAATTGAAGCCGCGATCGGCTCAAAGCGCGCCTGAAGTCCTGCGCACCACGCATCCCACGTGCTGTATTCGACGGTCTCGCAGAACGAACTCCAGGTGACAGCTGGACCCGAGGGCCCTTCCTCGTGCGACGGTGGCTCGTAGGCGCGTGGCGACGTCACGATGACTCGCCACCAGTCCATGGCAGGGCCCCTTAGCAGTGAAACCGCATACCGGATCTTTGCGGCGTCCGACTCGACGTTATTGGCGTCGAAGAAAACGTTCATCGTGAAGACCCACGATTGAACTGTCGGACCGCCGCGTTGACTTGGGTCGAAGCAGGGCGGGCGTTGCGGCTTGAGCGGCATTGGTGCCATGTTGGGTTGTTCGCCACTTGTCGCCGCAAATTCCACGTGCCGACGGACTTCTCGAGGCTCCCGTGGGCTTGGTGCGATCCTGTTTCCTCCCATGCCAGGCATCGGGTGGGCGGCGCCCTCACTGGCTGCGCCTGAGCGTTGTCCCATGCTGTCGTGTTGTGTTGGTGTGCCGGACGAGATGATGATCGGCTCATCCGAACGTGCGGATGCGTTTGTTGGTGCGTGGGATGTCGTCGGTATGTGTCAGATTTATATGACATAGTTGCTGTAGGCTATAGTGGGGTAGCACATATGGGGTACAGGGTTTCTAGGGTTGTATTTGTACCCAATCTTTCCTTAGTCATTTCATTCCTGTTTACTTGTTTCACATGGTATAGAGCGGGTCCTTCCTAAGGACCGTTTTTTTAGGGCCCACCGAAGCGCGCCCCGAGGCGCGCATTTTTTTTAGCGACCCCTCGGGTCGCCATTTCCCTCGCGGCCCCGCTGCCCCTCCTGATCGCGGCCCCGCCGCCTGCTTGACGCGGCCCCGCCGCCTGCTTGACGCGGCCCCGCCGCCTCCACTGACGCGGCCCCGCCGCCGGCTCTAACGCAGCCCTGCCGCCCGCTACGTCGCGGCCCCGCCGCCTCCACTGTCGCGGCCCCGCCGCCTCCACTGTCGCGGCCCCGCCGCCTCCACTGACGCGGCCCCGCCGCCTGCTTGACGCGGCCCCGCCGCCTCCACTGTCGCGGCCCCGCCGCCTGCTCTGACGCGGCCCTGCCGGCCCGCCGATGCACCCTACGGCCCGCCGCTGCACCCAGCGGCCCGCCGCTTCACCTGACGGCCCAGCCGCTGCACCTACGGCCCGCTGCTGCACCCAGCGGCCCGCCGCTTCACCTGACGGCCCCGCCGCTGCACCTACCGGCCCGCTACTGCACCCTACGGCCCCGCCGCTGCACCTACCGGCCCGCCGATGCACCCTACGGCCCCGCCGCTGCACCTGCCGGCCCGCCGCTGCACCGGTCGACCCGCCGCTGCACCTGACGGCCCCGCCCCTGCATCTCCCGGCCGAGCCGCCCCAGCAGCAGAGCCGCCCCAGCAGCCGAGCCGCCCCAGCCGCCGAGCCGCCCCAGCAGCCGAGCCGCCCCAGCAGCCGAGCCGCCCCAGCAGCCGAGCCGCCCTAGCTGCAGTGCCGCCCGAGCCGCCCGAGCCGCCGAGTCGCCCGAGCCGCCCAGCAGTCGAGCCGCCCGAGCCGCCCGAGCCGCCCGAGCCGCCCGAGCCGCCCGAGCCGCCCGGGCCGCCCGAGCCGCCCGAGCCCTCCCTGCACTGCCCTGTCTGGTGAGCACTGAGCTTTACTCTGCGCACTGCCCTCTCTCTACTGCTGTCATGGCTACCCCCAGTGTCCTCGCCTTTGACGCTGAGGGCAGAGCCATTGACTTTGACGTGTGGGTAGACGACCTACTGCTTTTCCTACAGTGCGACAGAGCTGACGGACTCTCTCTCTTTGATCTCACTTCTGGTGCCTCTCCCGCCCCTGCTGCTACTGAGGATGCCACTGTTCGTTCAGTGTGGGCCACACGCGATGCTGCTGCACGTCTTGCTGTGCGTCGCCACCTCCCTCCCGCTGAGCGTGCGCACTTTGGGTCGTACAAGAGTGCTAAGACCTTGTACGACGCCGTTATCGCACGCTACCCCACCCCTGCCACTGCTGCACTGAGCCGCCTCATGCTACCATACCTCTTTCCCGACCTTGCTGCTTTTGCCACAGTCGCCGACCTCATTACCCACCTGCGCACTAGTGACGCTCGTTTCCGCGCTGCACTTCCTGCTGAGTTCTGCGCCAAGAACCCCCCCCCCCAGTACTTCACTCTCTACTACATTGTCACCCGCCTCCCTGACTCCCTTCGCGGAGTCAGGGACGACCTACTCGCAGTCTGCCCCACCACTCTCACTGTCGAGATCCTCGAGAAGTCCCTCCTCGCAGCCGAGAAGAGCATTCTCGCTGTAGGGGCCTCTCGTGGTGACCCGCGCGCCCCCATCTTTGAGGGGTGTTCCCCCTCCCCCCTCCTGCCCTCTGTGGCCTTTGCTGCTACGGCCGACCTTGTTGGTTTTGAGTCGGTCGGAGCGGCGTCTGCCCCCAGCGGGAGACGTCGCTCTGGCAAGAGCAAGGAGGGCAGGGGCGGTGGTGGAGGCAGCGGGGGCGCTGGAGGCGGAGGTAGAGGCAGCGGCGGAGGTGAGGGTGGTAGCGGGAGTAGTGGCGGGAGTGGAGGTGTCGGCGGAGGCAGTGGAGGCGGGGGCGGCAGCGGCGGTGGTAGTGGGGGTGGAGGCGGAGGCGGCGGTGGCGGCGGCGACGGTGGGAGTGGCGGTGGCGGTGGAGGTGGTGGCGGCGGCGGCGGAGGAGGCGGCGGAGGTCGTGGCGCGCCGAGGAGGAGTGGCTCCGGTGGTGGTCAGCGCCAGCAGCAGCAGCGTGGTCAGGAGACCCTCTCCCCGCAGCAGCTCCGTGAGTGGTACTCTGCGCGTCAGCGGGGTGGGGGTACTGGTCCGTGCACTTACGTCCTGCGCACTGGCGACCGTGCGGGTGAGCAGTGTGGTGGTCCACACTCCGCCCAGCGTTGCTTCGGCCGCCTGACTGACGCTTGGCGTCGCCAGTTTCCTGACGCCTCTGAGATCCCTCGCTGGGACCAGCTGTCTAGGGCTGGAGTAGCTATCTTTGATCTTGACTTTGATGCTATTCTTGCTGCTATGTATGCTGTGACTATTAGTGAGGAGGGTGACTGTTACCGGTGTTTCCCGCCCGACCCGGGCATTGGTACTGCGGCTCTAGGTGCTGTTGAGGCTGCTGCTCCAGGTGCTGGTGAGGCTGTTGCTCTAGGTGCCAGTGAGTCTGAGTCCTCTGGTGCTGGTGAGTTTGCTCTCTCAGGTACAGTGTCGACTTCACCCTCTCTCACTTTCACTCTTGACTCCGGGGCGTCTCGCTCCTTCTTTCGAGACCGCACCACACTCACGCCGCTTAGTCGGCCAGTGGCGGTCTCCTTGGCAGACCCCTCTGGGGGTCCTGTTCTGGCTCGCTACTCCACTGTCCTGCCATGCCCTGCGGTCCCGTCTGGCGCCCTGTCCGGTCTCTACCTCCCCTCGTTCTCTACGAACTTGGTGGCGGGTGCTGACCTACAGGATGCAGGGGTTGACCAGTTTACCCCTGCACGCCGACGAATCACCCACTGCACGGACGCGGACACCGGTCGACACCTGACCACATTCACACCTGGTCCAGGGTCGAGCCTGTACACACTCACTGTTCCGTCTCCTTCTCCTGCGTCTGGTCAGGTAGCTGCGTCGAGCTTGTTGGCTGCCTCATGTACCTGATGACCTGCACACGACCTGACCTTGCATACCCTCTGAGCATTCTTGCACGCTATGTTGCTCCTGGGAGACACCGACCAGAGCACATGGCTGCAGCGAAGAGGGTGTTGCGCTACCTGTGCAGTACGTCGGGAATGGGGCTAGTGCTTGGAGGGCGGAGTCCAGTGGTCCTTACAGGGCACGCGGACGCTTCTTGGGCTGACGACCAGGCTACGCAGCGGTCGTCACAGGGTTACACCTTCAGTCTTGGTTCCGGCTCTGTCTCGTGGCGGGCTACTCGCTCGTCTTAGGTTCTCAGCTCCAGTTGTG